GACCCTGTGAGGTAGGCTAGGCTGAGTCACCAGCCCATGGTTCCCCATCGGGGGTGGGGTGGGGAACCCTGCTGTAGCTTCACGCAAACTACAGATCGCACCTAGCCGGGCAGGCTCTGTTTCCTCCACACCCAGAACCACAGAAATGGTCGAATGCAGCATTTCTTTAAAGGGGTGTGGACTTCAACTCCCAGAATTCCCCAGCCAGCCTCCTGGAATTCTGGGAGTTGAAGTCCACATCCTCTTAAAGTTGCTGAGGTAAGAAACGCTGGTCTAGTACAGGGGTCCCCAACCTTGGCCACTTTTAGACTTGTGGACTTCAACTTCCAGCATTCCTCAGCCAGCTTTATACTGCTTTGCTGGCTGAGGAATTCTGGGAGTTGAAGTCCACAAGTCTTAAAGTGGCCAAGGTTGGGGACCCCTGCCTTAACTTACAACTGGTTGTTCAGTGACCATTTGAAGTTACACAGCATGGGGAAAAGCGTTTTTCACACAACCAGTGCAGCCTCCCTGTGGTCACGTGATCCGTAGAGATAGTCCTTGACTCACAACAGTTCCCTTAGTGACCGTTCAAAGTTATTGAGAAAAGTGACTGATGACCTTTTGCAGCCTCCCCAGAGTCACGGGAGTTACATTCAGATAGCAATAGCACTTAAGATTTATATACTGCTTTATAGTGCTTTATATCCCTCTCAAAACGGTTTTCAGAGTCAGCCTCTTGCCCCCGACAATCTGGGTCCTCCTTTTACCCACCTTGGAAGGAGGGAAGGCTGAGTCAACCTGGAGCCTGGTGCGATTCGATCTGCCCAATTGCAGTAGGAGTAGCTTGCAGTATGCACTCTAACCACTGCGCCACCGAGGCTCATATAATCAAATGTTTGACAACTGATTCACATTTATGACGGTTGCAGTGTGCCTGGGTCACATGATCCCCTTTGGTGATCTGCTGACAAGCAAAGTCTAATTGGGGAAACCGGATTCACTTAACAACCGTGTTACTAATTTAGCAACTGCAGGCAGCGTGGGATTCTACTGGTTTGGACCGGTTCGGGTGAACCGGATGTTAGATTTACATCTGGTTCTCTGAACCAGTAGTTGAACTGACCAGCTGGCCCCGCCCACCCTGCCCCTCCCTTCCCAGGAGTCTCCACATGGCACCTTTTGGATGCAGGTAAGTGCAGGGACCACACGGAGGATCTGGGAGGGCGAAAAACGGGCCAAACCGGAAGTTCCGGAAGTTCTGGTAGGCCACACCCGCCACGGCCACAGCTACCCAGCCACTGGGCAGCAAACCAGTTGCTGGGATTTTTGAATCTCACCCCTGACTGCAGGGATTCACTTAACAAACGGGGCAAGAAAAGTCGTAAAATGGGGCAAAACTCACTGAACAAATTTCTCACTTAGCAACATAAATTTTGG